GGGCGGGGGCAGCCTTGCGGCGTGTCTGCAGCCCGGCTTTGTACGGGGCGGTTGGGATAGGGCTGAGCCGCCGCAGGCAGGGGCTGGACGGGCTGACCTCGCCAGGGCCCAGCCCTGCTTCTCTGCCGACGAGGCAAGCGCCCTTTACGGAAGGAACCCGGTACTTTCCTTCATTCTCGAAGTTTAAAATGGGCTTAAAGGTTTAAGGCTCTGACAGCCAGCCCCAGACTTGGCCTCCGGGGTTGGCCTTGCCTGCAGGCTCTGGTCCCTCAGACAGTTCCCAGACCCCCTCCCTCTTCCAGCCTGTAGCTCTACCCGCAGGTGGGCTTCAAAACCCTGCAACTTAAGGGTTGTTGTGATTTAGTACTAAACGGCACTGTTGTCCTATTGGTCAGTTGGCTTTTGTTCTGGGACCTAAGCTTGCATGAGCTAGTGGGTTGTATATAACACACTCCCTATCTGGAGAATGGGTTGGCCTGGAGTTTCCTGGGGTTAGTCGCTGGGTGCGGTCAGTTTTAGCCTTTGTGCTGCTTAAGCTGTTTTTCTGGTGTCCACCTGGGACTTACCCTACATGCCACCCTGCATGCGTGGAAATGACAACGACAAGATGTAGTCTTGAAAGGAATGTTTGGCTGCATGTAACTGGATCCAGTGATTTAAGAATTTATTTTTTTGCAAGCAGTTCCTGTGCCGGAGGGGACTGACTTTTTTTTTTTTTTTTTAAGCAGTGGCGGTCAACATTTTTAGACTCAAGGCACCCCAACATAACTTGCATATTGAGCAGCACCGCATCTCAGAAATGCACGTATTGCAGTGCTTGCCTTTTTCAGGGGGGCTGAGCAGCGAGAGTGGGGAAACAGTTGTGCAGGGAGAGCTTGAGCCCGCCTTTATCTACTTATTTCCTCACACTTCCTGTGGTGTCCTGATTTAGAATTACTGCTTTAGGCATATGGCATTTTGGACAGACTAACAAGTTGATTCATAAGTTTTACTCTTGCTAAACATTAACCTGCTATCTATTTATTTTTGCTACAGGAAGTGTTATTGGAGATGGGGCTGAGAAGAATCCATTAGGCCCTTGGCCTCTGAAGACCTTGGACTTGTTGGAGCATTCGGTAGATGTAAGAATGTGGCAAGCCTACCATACAGGCCTGGTAAAGTTTCTTGCCTTCAGAGAAAACATGGGAATGCCTCCAGAATGGCCAATTCCACCGTATCAAAGTAGAGGATTTGTGGTGGCTATGGAGTCCCTAGGCTTACCTTCACCAAAAATACTGATGTACTTGGCAGCACTCTCCTATCTCTCCAAATTGACAGGTCATACTGATCCTCTTGAAGACTTTGTAAACAGGCATATGGTGGTAGCATTGTGTCAGAGGGATGATGCTCCAAGGGGTGGTGCTGCTCCTGTAACCATTGAGGTCTTGCGATCGATCCTGGGATCTGTGGAGTCTGTTTGCAGCTCACAGTACGAGTGTTTACTTTTTCGTGCTGTATTTACTGTGGCATTCTTTGGAGCACTTCGGGTGCAGGAAATGGTGGCAGAGCATCAGAACTGGGCACAGCCAGAGCTTCTATTCCTGAGTGATCTCCAGCTGACGGGAGAGAGAGCAAACCTTCAATTACATACATCCTTCCTGGGTCAAGAAAGATTTTTGATTTCTCTTGGACTATGTGGAGAGACCTGGGTATGCCCTGTTGAAGCACTCTGGAACTATGTGGCAGCTAGGCCACGCGGGGAAGGACCTCTCTTTGTTCATTCTGAAGGTATACCTCTGACAAAGAGACGGTTCTTGGCTGTCTTCCGTTCTTCTTTAAGGCTACTCGGCCTTCGTTCAGAGTGCTATGGTGCCCATTCCTTCTGGTTGGGAACTACGGTAACACTAATAAGAAGTGGATACTCTGAGGAAGATGTTATGCGGCTAGCAAGATGGCCTTGTAAGATCCTTGGAAGGACATAACGTAACAAGTTATGTGGTGACCTCACTAGGTTTATCCCAGCCTTAATTTCCTACTGGTGGTCTACTTGTATTACAAATAGTATTCCCTCTAACTTCACAAGAATGTGAAGGAGTGGGGAGGGCAGCTGTCAAAACATTAAAAATAATGGGGATAATCTCTTGCAGCTGCATTCTCCTCTCTTTCCCCTCCCCTCATCTTTAAGGACTTTGATAGTGGCCCTTGAATTGACTAGCTCCATCCACTTTTAAATGCTGCTAATGCCACAAGCACTGCACTGCGAGTGCTGTAAACTTTACTCATTAAGTAATATAGAGCTGCTTGCGCTGGAGTTCCAGCAGCCCTGAAACAGACTAGTTTCTTCTCGCTTGTAAAGCTTCTAGTAGTTGCTTTCAGTGCTGCTGTTTAGAAGCATTGAAAATGAGGAGCTAGTCAGTCTCATGGCTGTTAATATTGCAGCCCTGACAGTGCTGTGGACCTTTTATTAAACTCCTTATTAAGTTTGGATAGATGTCCAAAGTACAAAGTGCATGTGCTTTATTACCTACAATGCAAGGTTAAATGCTAGCTGTATTTCTGCTTATCCAGTGTGTGTTAATAAACTTATTAACGAAACTAATTTGTCTACCAAACTTTAATAATTAAAAAAGCATCCAACTCAACAAAGGCCAGCATATAGGGACAGAGGTCAACAGTGCTTCCATAACTCAAGTCAGTGTCTTCTGAGGAGAGTTTTACGTTTTGTTCTTTTCTTCCTTTCAGGCTCAGATAGGCTATGAAGTGTAAGGAAGCTATGTCAAGCTCTTGTTTCTTCACCTCTATGTAATCTGTTTAAGGATTCCTTCCTTCCTTGTCCCCTTTAGTTTCCTGAAATTCTGCAGAATAAAAGGGGCACTATTGTGCTTTTAGTTTTTTAATTTGTTCTTAACAGATAGAACTTCCATTCTCCTTACCCTTTCTGGTCTGGAGGGAGAAGTCCTTTTTCCAAGGACTTATGCCAGGTTTCTAAGTAAGCATTTCTTCTCATCTGTAGAATGCTGATGTGGTAAGATGGCTTTAACTGAAAAGCTTCCCAAACTTTTTGAACCCAGTCAATGATTTTTCTCTCTCCCTCTCCCCCTACCTCCCTTGTAATTGTAAATCTTTTAGCCACTGAATACAAGGGATTAGTTATCTATTACTTTGTTGCAGAATTCTCAGGAGCATGTTCAATAAGAACATTATGGGGTTATCTGGAAAAAAAATGATTTTAAAAATTGGATTTTTAAAATTTATTTAAAATAATATAAATTGTTTTCCTTAAATATAAACTGGCTTAAAATTTTAAATTTGAATTTAATGCAGCATAGGCCAGGGTATACATTTAGTGTAATGTATTTTAAAATTTCATTTAACCCTTGAAGTCAAGCTTTAAAAATATAGCACTATTTCAGGTATTTGGGGCTTGAGTCCCCCCCACACAGGGGAAGCAGGGTCTGCCTTAAAGGATGCAAAGGATCCGCAAAGTCATCGCAGGTACGGGAACCTTGCCTCTGACTCCAGCAGACACCAACATGTGTACTTCTTGATGTTGAAGTTTGAAAAGAACTTCAAGAAATACCCAACAGACAGTAAAATGGATGGATCAGACACTTACTCTCTCATTTTTTTCCCAATATTCTTACACAAAGTACCACAGTAGATGCCTAACTGCTGAAAAGGAAAATGCTGCTATGGCATGGACATCTACTAATCACACATCATTCATGCCAACCATAATAAATGTCAGGACTAAAGGTGAACCACTGAAGCAGCACATGATTGCTCGGGATGTTTTAAAGAAAGTGACACCACTGTGGAAGTCACTAGCGAAGCACCTGAAACCAAAGTTTTTTGAAGTGCTAAACCAACTTTTACCAGCAGTAGCCTCTCTTGCAGGTGCTGAAAGAATATTTCTTTCATTTGGTCCCCCCCATTTAAAAAAAAAAAACCCCAAAAACCCCCTCTTTTTTTTTTTTTAAAGAGAATTAGGCAAATAGGAACCAGCACCTAGGGAAAGCTGCATTCACTAACCACCGTTCACACTTGTAATACAGTATGTGAGCAAAAAGTTAATCATGTATTGAATTAGATGTATATATTTTGCCATTTTACAGTGTACTAAATTGTAGGATTTCTAGCAGTCTAAATGTTGTTTTTTTTAATTTTAATAATGTGTAGTTTATCTAGTTTGTGTACTTAAAATGTGCACCAAATCTGTAAAAACTATTTAGTTTGTAAATAAAGGTCTTAATTATATCAACAAATGAAAATATATGTTTGTTTTTTAAAATACACAAATACAGTGGGAGAGTTAATAAAAAAAATAAGTTATTTAAATTGTCTTTTGGCTTGCTGATTTAAATTGGTTCACCCTGTAATTTCCCTTGCTATCGTTTCAAGCTTTTTGAGTGTGGGACATGCCCACAAAATATTGTTGTATTCTTCCCAGCTGACCACACTTTCTCCAGCAATTTCTTATTCCTGTACAATAGATGCATTTTAACTTTTAAGTGGGTTGAGATGCCATTTAAAGAAATCCCAAAAAACTACTTTAAAATTCTGTTTAAGGTCATGCAGATGTTTTGTTTAGGATTTTTTTTTTGGATCTAAAGATTAAGTTTTATAATACATCCAATGTGGCTTTTCATCCACTTACTAAATCATTTGGAGCTCTGTGCTTTATTTTTAGTGTCACTATCTTTTTCTAATTGAATTTGTCAATGGCCTGTTGCTTTTTTTCTTTTTATAATATAACTCTTGTATATCTAAATGCTTTTTTTTTTTTTGTCCTTTCACTTTGTAACAAATTTAACATTTCAGTTTTTTGTGTGTTGTCACAGAAAATATATATCAAAAGAATTAATTGAATTAAACTTTATTTTAAAATAAAGTCTTTTTACCTCACTAGTCAGATCTGGCATTCTAATCTTGCTAAATTGACTCCACTTCTTAGGCTGCCGCTGGTTACTGCTTTGAAAGCATCCATAAAATATTCTTTTTAATTTGACATGCATTATTTTCTGTGAAATATAGCCTGGTTTCCTTTCTAACAACAGTTTAAACTTTCCTGGCTGTTCAGAATGGGGAATGCAATTGCCAAGCTTGGGTACATTCTACTAATACCTAATAACTGTATTGGACCATGGTCTGACCTGACAATTCTACTTTGTTTTGCTGATACAGAATTATTAAGCAATGATTTGAACATCAAGGTTATATCAGTTTGTGATATTGGAAAAAAAGATACCTTTCTTTTGGGTTTAAGCATCTCCAGGATTCACAAAGTACATATCTGCTGATCTTAGCTTTGTGCCTGGTGGTTTGCTTGCGTGTGTGTTTTTTTTTTTTTTTTTTTTTTTTTTTTTTTTTTTTTTTTTTTTCTGTCCTTTATTTCCGCAAGACTAGTCATCTCCTGCATCCAGAACGCAGTTACGGTCTCCTCCCAACACAGGGACTTCTCTGATGAAGAGGGCTCTTCAGCTTTTGAGAAGCCATGGGTAGCCGGAGAAAGCAGAAGCAGGAAGAGAACAACATCTTGTCCTGATTAGATATGCAGATATACTTCCTGAAGTCAACTCTCTATCACAGGCAGTATATACATCTGCCTTAATAATCCATAGTTTTTCTCATGTAGCTGAAGAGATGCATGTTTTGCTATGATAATTTCAACTCCCTTTTTAAATTTGGATTACTTGGAGATGCATATACATATGGGAAGGGTGGTGGAACCACTTCCCTAATGTGTAACTATTTCTTTTGAAGGTGGATATCTTGGATGAAGCAAAAGATGTGGTGCTTCATCTTGGGTTGTAGTATTTTCTGTCTCTTAACAATAAGACCCTTAACGTTTATAGCAGGGGTGGGCAATGCATGGCCCACAGGGGCATTTTGTCCAGCCCGGGGCAAGTGCAGAGGGCAGCCAAGGTAGGGGTGCCTGACAGGCCTAGATGCCCACCAAGACAGTGGGGGCAACCAGTAGCTTCTGAACCAAAGCCCTAGCACCAAAGCAGCTCGTCCCATGTTCTGGGCATCTTGGAACAGGAGTCTGGTAGCACCTGGCTGTATTCAGGGAGCTGCTGCTCCTGATCACCCCTTCTACCTGGCAGCTCCAGCATGACCCTAGTATGCAGCTGTTGTCCAGTGTGTCCTGTACAGCTCTGCTCAGCTTAGTTTCTGTTTATAGCTTTTTGCCTGATTAGTTATACTAGGGATACTGTTTTTCTCTCTTTAAAAATCCAAAATTAATTACAACCCTCAAAACCTGCATTTTTCTGCTATTGAAATGAAGCATGTGTGTGATAGTATCAGCTGAACACTATTTTATTAATATATTTGCAATTTTAAAGTAATGTGGAAGTCTACCAGTGCCTCAGTTGTTATAATAAAATAAATCCTAAATACCTATATATTTTGGGGTTTTTTATCATAGAAGAGCAGAGCTTCCCTTGCCCCTTTCCTCTCCAGGATGTGGGTCCAGCTGCTGTGTACTTAAAATGTGCACCAAATCTGTAAAAACTATTTAGTTTGTAAATAAAGGTCTTAATTATATCAACAAATGAAAATATATGTTTGTTTTTTAAAATACACAAATACAGTGGGAGAGTTAATAAAAAAAATAAGTTATTTAAATTGTCTTTTGGCTTGCTGATTTAAATTGGTTCACCCTGTAATTTCCCTTGCTATCGTTTCAAGCTTTTTGAGTGTGGGACATGCCCACAAAATATTGTTGTATTCTTCCCAGCTGACCACACTTTCTCCAGCAATTTCTTATTCCTGTACAATAGATGCATTTTAACTTTTAAGTGGGTTGAGATGCCATTTAAAGAAATCCCAAAAAACTACTTTAAAATTCTGTTTAAGGTCATGCAGATGTTTTGTTTAGGATTTTTTTTTTGGATCTAAAGATTAAGTTTTATAATACATCCAATGTGGCTTTTCATCCACTTACTAAATCATTTGGAGCTCTGTGCTTTATTTTTAGTGTCACTATCTTTTTCTAATTGAATTTGTCAATGGCCTGTTGCTTTTTTTCTTTTTATAATATAACTCTTGTATATCTAAATGCTTTTTTTTTTTTTGTCCTTTCACTTTGTAACAAATTTAACATTTCAGTTTTTTGTGTGTTGTCACAGAAAATATATATCAAAAGAATTAATTGAATTAAACTTTATTTTAAAATAAAGTCTTTTTACCTCACTAGTCAGATCTGGCATTCTAATCTTGCTAAATTGACTCCACTTCTTAGGCTGCCGCTGGTTACTGCTTTGAAAGCATCCATAAAATATTCTTTTTAATTTGACATGCATTATTTTCTGTGAAATATAGCCTGGTTTCCTTTCTAACAACAGTTTAAACTTTCCTGGCTGTTCAGAATGGGGAATGCAATTGCCAAGCTTGGGTACATTCTACTAATACCTAATAACTGTATTGGACCATGGTCTGACCTGACAATTCTACTTTGTTTTGCTGATACAGAATTATTAAGCAATGATTTGAACATCAAGGTTATATCAGTTTGTGATATTGGAAAAAAAGATACCTTTCTTTTGGGTTTAAGCATCTCCAGGATTCACAAAGTACATATCTGCTGATCTTAGCTTTGTGCCTGGTGGTTTGCTTGCGTGTGTGTTTTTTTTTTTTTTTTTTTTTTTTTTTTTTTTTTTTTTTTTTTTTTTTTTTTTTTTTTTTTTTTTTTTTTTTTTTTTTTTTTTTTTTTTTTTTTTTTTTTTTTTTTTTTTTTTTTTTTTTTTTTTTTTTTTTTTTTTTTTTTTTTTTTTTTTTTTTTTTTTTTTTTTTTTTTTTTTTTTTTTTTTTTTTTTTTTTTTTTTTTTTTCTGTCCTTTATTTCCGCAAGACTAGTCATCTCCTGCATCCAGAACGCAGTTACGGTCTCCTCCCAACACAGGGACTTCTCTGATGAAGAGGGCTCTTCAGCTTTTGAGAAGCCATGGGTAGCCGGAGAAAGCAGAAGCAGGAAGAGAACAACATCTTGTCCTGATTAGATATGCAGATATACTTCCTGAAGTCAACTCTCTATCACAGGCAGTATATACATCTGCCTTAATAATCCATAGTTTTTCTCATGTAGCTGAAGAGATGCATGTTTTGCTATGATAATTTCAACTCCCTTTTTAAATTTGGATTACTTGGAGATGCATATACATATGGGAAGGGTGGTGGAACCACTTCCCTAATGTGTAACTATTTCTTTTGAAGGTGGATATCTTGGATGAAGCAAAAGATGTGGTGCTTCATCTTGGGTTGTAGTATTTTCTGTCTCTTAACAATAAGACCCTTAACGTTTATAGCAGGGGTGGGCAATGCATGGCCCACAGGGGCATTTTGTCCAGCCCGGGGCAAGTGCAGAGGGCAGCCAAGGTAGGGGTGCCTGACAGGCCTAGATGCCCACCAAGACAGTAGGGGCAACCAGTAGCTTCTGAACCAAAGCCCTAGCACCAAAGCAGCTCGTCCCATGTTCTGGGCATCTTGGAACAGGAGTCTGGTAGCACCTGGCTGTATTCAGGGAGCTGCTGCTCCTGATCACCCCTTCTACCTGGCAGCTCCAGCATGACCCTAGTATGCAGCTGTTGTCCAGTGTGTCCTGTACAGCTCTGCTCAGCTTAGTTTCTGTTTATAGCTTTTTGCCTGATTAGTTATACTAGGGATACTGTTTTTCTCTCTTTAAAAATCCAAAATTAATTACAACCCTCAAAACCTGCATTTTTCTGCTATTGAAATGAAGCATGTGTGTGATAGTATCAGCTGAACACTATTTTATTAATATATTTGCAATTTTAAAGTAATGTGGAAGTCTACCAGTGCCTCAGTTGTTATAATAAAATAAATCCTAAATACCTATATATTTTGGGGTTTTTTATCATAGAAGAGCAGAGCTTCCCTTGCCCCTTTCCTCTCCAGGATGTGGGTCCAGCTGCAGCTGTTGTCTTCTGCCCCCTCCCCAACCCCAGCCACTTGGTGGCGAGGAGCAGCCCTGATAGGCTGATGCACCTCTCTCTCAGGCCGCAGCCTCCCCAGCCCTGCTGGTGCTTCTCACTCCTGACCTGCTTGCCTCCCACCCCAGGCCCCAGCCTCCCCCAGTGTGTGGAGCAGGGATGGGGGATACTTAATCATAAGCAATGCCATAGGTGATGCATTGGAGGGCCATGGTGGGGTGGGGACATGTGCCTGTTCCAGGTCTGCCAACCCACAGTGACCATGGTACTGACACTTGGATGGACTGGCAC